GTAGCGATGCCAGGAGCCCCTAGTAGCGTCCTTGTTACTACTAGTAAGGCACTTGTTACTAGTAGCGATGCACTTGTTCCTAGTAGCTAAAAAAATGGGTACTTGAAATGAGCTCAGGAGATTCCCGCGCAACACTTGCTGGCCCTTGGGCTCCAGTTCATTTGGAGTTGCGGAGCCCTTGCCGCGCACGTCATCACTCACTGCGTCAACCAGAAAAACCTGGCAACAAAACCTGAATGGGACACCTTCTGCGCGAGTACATATGAACAATAACTGGGTGCTCAAGTGGACGACAAATCACTGCTGCAGGCCAACGAAAAGTACCTTGGGAGTCCGTGGTTGCGCTTCACCTGCTCAGGGCCAAAGTAAGCACAAAATTGCCAGGAGCCCCTAGTAGCGCCTTGCTCCTAGTAGCGATGCCAGGAGCCCCTAGTAGCGTCCTTTGCTCCTAAGATATTCACAAAGTAGAACGATTAGAAACACTTTATTTTTGCACTTCTTCAGCCATTGGTCCAGCCAGAAGCCTACCTGGACCTAAATGCACGCTGGATGGAAGTCTCCCATTTCATGCACTTCCGGACACAAAGCTGCTAGGAACAAGTGCATCGCTACTAGTAACAAGTGCCTTACTAGTAGTAACAAGAAGCTAGTAGAAACAAGTGCATCGCTAGTAGTAACAAGTGCCTTACTAGTAGTAACAAGGACGCTACTAGGGGCTCCATCAAAGAATTCCCCTCGCGAAGCTCTTTGAGCCCGGCGGTGAAGTCCAACTCAGCCTACCAGTAGCATAGCCTTTATTTGAAAGAACATTCTTTTGACTCAAAAATAGACCAAGGCCTAGCTCTGCTAGTACCCAGAATAAAGGTGTTCTTCAAGTTTCAAAAGGTTTCTGTCATCTGGAATCTATCGCGTCGTTCTCGTTGTTTAAAGTGTTGTTTTAATTCCATCATGTTCTCGTTGTTGTTTCCCCTTAGTGTCAAGTGGTGCCATGGAGCACTTGTGGAAGTCAGGAGCAACCTGAGAGTCAAGTTCCGTGTGCCTTTATTTGTTCAAAAAAACATGCAGGAGGACACTGGTGAAGGCGATGCAAAAGATGGTGAGACCACAGCTGGGAGCGAGGGCGGCGCAAAGGAAGAACAACAAAGCGCACCCAAGAGCGAAGATGACGGAGGCCGAACAGTTTCTCATTGCAGTCATTCATGTCGGAGGCTGAGGTTTGGCATGTTGGAAGCTCCTAGTAGCGTCCCTTGCTCCTAGTAGTAAGGCCAGGAGCCCCTAGTAGCGAACATTGTTCCTAGTAGCGATGCCCTTTGTTCCTAGTAGCGAACATTGCTCCTAGTTCTCATGAAGATGTGACATGATTACACGATACTATATGTATCCAATACAGATGGCACGAACACCATGCTTGCTGCGTTTGCCCTCGAAAGAACTCTCACCAACTTGCAACTGTGTTTTTTACGCAAAGATGTTTGCTAAACGTTTGTCGACCCATGCCCCAAGATGTTTCTACTGGACATATTTATTTTGATGTTCAACATGTCCAAATTGAACATTAGGATATGTTGTCCGTGTGTGTTGTCCGTTCGAGTTATTTGAACATGGATCGGAGCACACAAGATGAGATGGACGTTCAAGCAAAACAAACTTCAGGCAGATTGCAAGAGTTGGTTTGCTATAAGTGCAGGATGCTTGAAAAGAGCAAACGTTCACAGTTATCATTGTTGTTGTCTTGGTTGCATTGATCAGCAGGAGCCAAGGATGAGTCTAAGGAGTCGGATAAGAAAGAGCCGCTTGCTGTTCAGGGCTGTGCACGTGAATTTGGTCATGAGAAGTCGCTACTATGAGCAAGGACGCTACTAGTAGCTCCTGGCATTACTACTAGGAACAAGAAGCTGCTAGGAGCAAAGGGCATTTCTCCTAGGAACAAGGACGCTATTGGCTATCAGTGGCTCCTGGCATCGCTACTAGGAGCAAGGACGCTACCTAGTCAAGTCTAGCGTGCGCGATGGAGAGTGAAGAGACGGCAGAATAACTGGAATGTGTCGCTGCTGACGTTTGCTTACCGGTTAGACAAGGAATCAGGAGAGAGTGAGTAGGTCTTGAACCCTGACTATTAGCCTAACTTGTTTATAAAGAGCACTGGCACGGAAGAAGTCGAATGTCAAACGAAGAACTGTGTCCTGGTTAATCTGGTCCTGGGAGCATCTTGCATAATTGCTTTGCATTACCGGATGTTTCTTTTAAAAAAAACAACAAAAGGTCTAATGAAAAAGGTTTTTGAAATACAAAAGCAAAAGGAAAAGGTGCGAGAGAAAATATCTAAAGAAAACGAGAAGGTCGAAAGAACCAAGAAAAGGTCGAAAAGAAAGAAAAGAGTGTAAACAGAATATCGAAAAAACACACGGTCTTAATGAAACAGTATGAAGTCAAAGAAGAACAAGGTCTAAGGAAGAAAGAGCAAACATATATAAAGAAAAAGAGAAGCCAATGTCTATCAGAAAAGGAGAAAACAAGGACTACACCAAAAAGGAAGAACAAGGTCGAAAGGAAAAAGAGAAAAATAAGGTTGCACGTCCTTTCGGCCCCCCGTATTCGTTTGGGCAGGCCAACACGAAATGCAGATTTTGTGTTGTGACATTCCCCCAAAAAGAGCACTCGGATCGTTTTTCCTGCTTTCAAGGTATATCCGTATATCCACTGGTAAACTCCATTCCACGGGGACTACTAGGAACAAGAAGCTATTAGGAAGAGTTTATATAGTGTACTCGGATCGGTGTTTTCCTGCCAATTCACCAATCCTTTGGATCAGTTTTTGCTTTGAACTTCTTCATCCACGACCACAGCCAATCCAGCTGCTGGGTGCCAAAGATCAATCTTCTTCTTCAACAAGCCAACGAACGAACGTCACTGCCCCCCCTCCCATCCCCCCACATGTGAGTGAAAATAAACATGTTTGTGAACAACCATGAAAACACAGTCAACATTTAAAAACATGTTACTAAACTAAACGCCTGCCAGGGGCCTGTATGGCCGTGACACCAAAAACAAGGGCGAAAGAAAAACGGAAACAATTGATAAAGGGAAAACGAACACCGAGGACCAAAGAAAAAGATAAAACAAAGGCCAGAGAACAGAAGAAAACAATGACTATATGAAGGAGAAAGAGAAAAGACAAACTACCGAAAAAGAAAATCAAGTACTAAAGAAAAGGAATAACAAGGTCTAAAGACAAAAGAAGACAGGGTCTAAACCGAAAAGACACGTCAATAACTAGAGGGAAAAAGAAAACAATGTCCAAAGAATCAAAAGAAAACATGGACCAAAGAACAGAAAGAAAAACGATGTCCAAAGAAAAAAAGAAAATTACTTGACTTCGAGTGATCCCGACCATGACATTTCAAAACAACCACGTTGACATCACCCTCGTTGTGTATTTCAGCCCATAGCGCAAGTCCTTCAGCGCCAAGTCTTACTGTTTTGTCCGAAGCGAATGCTTTCATCAGGAGACCTGTGCCCAACTAATAATGCAACTCAGATCAATTCATTTGGGAAACTTCCAGGGCCCGAGCAGTAGTAGTAGTAGTAGTAGTAGTAGAAGTAGGAGTAGTAGGAGTAGTAGGAGTAGGAGTAGTAGCAGTAGTAGTAGTAGTCGTAGTAGTAGGTAGTGGTATTAGGAGTAGTAGTAGGAGTAGTAGTAGTAGTCGTCGTAGTAGTAGTGGTGGTAGTAGGAGTAGGAGTAGGAGTAGTAGTAGGAGTAGTAGTAGTAGTAGTGGTAGTAGTAGTAGTGGTAGTAGGAGTAGTAGTAGTAGTAGCGGTGGTAGTAGTGGTAGTCGTCGTCGTCGTAGTAGTAGTAGTGGTGTTAGTAGTAGTAGTAGTAGTAGTAGTAGTAGTAGTAGTAGTAGTAGTAGTGGGGGGAAGTAGTCGCAGTAGTGGTGGTGGTGGTGGTAGTAGTAGTAGGAGTAGGAGTGGTAGTAGGAGTAGTTGTAGTAGTAGTGGTAGTAGTGGTAGTAGTAGTAGTGCTAGTACTAGTTGCTGTTGGACGGGGCCCGAGCTTCGGGGCCCGAACCTGGGAAACTTCCGGGGCCCGAGCAGCAGTAGTAGAGTAGTAGTAGTGGTGGTGGTGGTGGTGGTAGTAGTAGTGGTAGTCGTAGTCGTAGTCGTAGTTGTAGTCGTAGTAGTAGTAGTAGTAGTAGTAGGAGTAGTAGTAGCAGTAGTAGTAGTAGTAGTGGTAGTGGTACTGGTAGTAGTGTGGTAGTAGTAGCAATAGTAGTGCACAGTTCGGGGCCCGAACTTGGAAGCTTCCGGGGCCCGAGTAGTAGTAGTAGTAGTAGTAGTAGCAGTAGTAGTAGTAGGAGTAGCAGTAGTAGCAGTAGCAGTAGCAGCAGCAGTAGCAGCAGCAGCAGCAGTAGTAGTAGTAGTAGTAGTGGTAGTAGTAGTGGTAGTAGTCGTAGTAGTAGTAGCAGTAGCAGTAGTAGTAGTAGTAGTAGTAGGAGTAGGAGTAGGGATATGTACTTTCCTTGCTGTAGGATGTTGCCTGTCTCAAGTCTCTTTGCAAACAGCTGCGCCAACAGATATGGAAATGCGTCCGACCCCAGTCACTCTGGAATATCTTCGAACTGATTGCTCCCACACTATGGTGAATTTTGTGGTTCTTGATTTTGCTTGGGTCCTCCGGTTGTGTGTGTGTGTGATTGTGTGGTTGTGTGTTTGTGGCTGTGTGTTTGTGATTGTGTGTTTCTGATTGTGTTTGTGGTTCTGTGCCTGTGGTTGTGTATTTGTTGTTCTGTTTGCGGTTGTGTGTTTGTGATTGTGTATTTGTCGCTGTGTGTTTGTGGTTGCGTGTTTGTGGTTGCGTGTTTGTGGTTGTGTGGTTGTGGTTGTGTGTTTGTTGTTCTGTTTGTGGTTGTGTGTTTGCGGTTATGTGTTTGTGGTTGTGTGTTTGCGGTTATGTGTTTGTGGTTGTATGTTTGTGGTTGTGTTTGTGGTTGTGTGTTTGTGGTTGTGTGTTTGCGGCTGTGTGTTTGTGATTATGTGTTTCTGGTTGCGTTTGTGGTTGTGTATTTGTTGTTCTGTTTGTGATTGTGTGTTTCTGGTTGTGTTTGTGATTGTGTGTTTGTGGTTGTGTGTTTGTTGTTCTGTTTGTGGTTGTGTTTGCGGTTATGTGTTTGTGATTGTGTGTTTGCGGTTATGTGTTTGTGGTTGTGTTTGTGGTTATGTGTTTGTGATTGTGTCTTTGTAGTTCTGTTTGTAGTTCTGTGTTTGTGATTGTGTTTGTGGTTGTGTGTTTGTGGCTGTGTGTTTGTGATTGTGTGTTTCTGGTTGCGTTTGCGGTTGCGTGTTTGTTGTTCTGTTTGTAATTGTGTGTTGGGGTCCGGCGGGGAACACTGGGCGCGGATGGTCGTGGTTGAGGTCCGCGCGGATGGTCGTGGTTGAGGTCCGGCGGGGAACACTGGGCATGGATGCTCGCGGTTGAGGTCGGGCGGAGGAGGACGAGGAGGAGAAGGAGGAGGAGGAGATGGGGCTGACTTAGAATCTAACAACCCTCACCTGACAGGTGTGGAACAATGACTGAAGACAGAACAACAATGACCAAAAGTAATTAGAGAACGCACAAGGATTCAAGATAAAGAAGAAAACAAGAGACAGAAAGAGAAGAACAGGGCGAAAGAAAACCAAGGTCTAAGAAGAGGTCAATAGAGAAAGAAAATAGAATACTCGACCAGTTTTTTTGGATGTGATTGAATCCTTCCCCTTTCGCCCCAAGCGCGAATCTGAGGGATGACGAGAGTGACTCCAAGGGCGACAAGGAGAGAAGAACATGTGCAGACTGAGACTGTGGGCTCAACATGTGAGCAAAGGGCATCGCTACTAGGAGCAAGGACACTACTAGGGGCTCCTGGCCTTACTACTAGGAGCAAGAAGCTACTAAGAGCAAAGGGCATCGCTACTAGTAGCGTCCTTGTTCCTAGTAGCGATGCCAGGAGCCCCTAATAGCGTCCTTGCTCCTAGTAGTAAGGTTAGGAACCTGTAGTAGTTTCTTGTTCCAATATTTCCAAAAATGAGCGAGAAAGAAAGAAAGAAAGGAACAGAAACAAACATGTTTACTAGGCGTTCTTGGGAAAACGTTGCAGGAGAAATAGAGGGTCTTTGCCTGGATCATAGTGCACGTGCATCCAGCAACGGCAGACATTGGACATTCGCATGAGTGTGCAGCGTGGCTACCGTGGCCTTTGGGATTTTGTAAAATCTAGCCTATCTAGGCTGCAAGAAGCTACTAGAAACAAAGGGCATTTCTACTAGGAGCAAGGATGCTACTAGTAGCTCCTGGCCTTACTACTAGTTGCAAGAAGCTACTAGTAACAATTGGCATGGACGAGTAAGATTTGTTGTTCGGCCCAGACCTTACACCGTAATGGGGTTGCTCGACCTACAGTTAGACTGGCCGTCGCCTTGGAAATCTGAAAGAGCTTTGCCACAGCCAGAAAAAATCTGGAGAACTATCAAGGCCCACAAACAGGTGCATCACTCTTCCCAGATATCATCGCTACTAGGGTGGAGGCCATCGCTATTAGGTAGGAAGTCATTGCAGGATGTTACTTGGTGTTCCTTGGACATCGGTGGGAAATACAAGCTTACCTCTGTGTGGAAAGTTAAGCTCTCTTTGCGGTTGTAGTTCCAAATTGAAGCCTTGTGCAAGTACAAACTCTCATGAAACAATTGAAACAGCGCAACTGAATGTGCAAGCATTTGGATTGCCCATGGAACTGAAGCGCAAATGACAGCGTGGCTATGCGTGGCTAACAAGCGAAAGTCATTCCGATGTCCGTGGTGAAGCGAGAGCGAAGTGGAAAGCGGAAGCGACCACCGTCACCGCCGTCACCGCCCATGCCAGGCCCTAACAAGTTGTAAAAAATGCATGCTTGCAATTTTACTGGTGGCTTCTGGCCTTACTAGTAACAAGAAGCTATTAGGAACAAGTGCATCGCTTCTAGTAACAAGTGCCTTACTAGTAGTAACAAGAAGCTGCTAGGGGCTCCTGGCCTTACTACTTGGAGCAAGAAGCTACTAGGAGCAAGGACGCCTTTAGGTGCAGAGAAGCCGTGAAACCTTCGAATTGGGACCTGGCCGATGTGGCGTCCCGTTTCGAGCAGGTCCAAAAAGCAACGCGTCCGTTGAACCTTTCCAACTCACAGGACCGCCCGCGGGGGGGGGGGGGTAGGCCGTAGCTAGAGGACGGTAGCGATGCCCTTTGTCACTAATAGTAGTAAGAACGCCCTTTGTCACTAGCGTCCTTGCTCCTAGTAGCTTAGAGGTAGCTGGTAGTTGAAATAGCTACTAACTACTGGACGCAGGATACCTCGTGCAATGGCAACCAACCTAGAAGCAATGGCCTCCAACCTAAAAGCGATGCTCCAACCTAAACGCAATGACTACTCGCAATGGCCTCCAACCTAAAC